ATATAATACACATAATTATGCTCTGTGTCTTTTTGGTATCATTGATTTTGCTACACGCTCAGTTACATACTTTGCCAAACGTTTCTGAATGCTTAATAATTATTGTCTCAACAACTAGAAGAATGATTTATGTAAGCATATTTGTAGATAAACACCCCAAAACAACTCTGCTCTTCAATAGCGTTTCAATCCCGTCGAAAACGATAGGAACGTCGAACCCTTCGTTTTAGCCGACTGTTCCCTGTCTCTATCCCCTCCACCCCACCTCCCCAATTCTTTCTCTTTCTTCCTCCCCTCTCTCTCTTTCTGTCTCTCCCTCTCTTTCTTACTTTCTTTCTCTCCCTCCCGTCCTTTTTTTCCTTCTCGATCAATCTCTCTCTCCTAGCTGTCTCGCTACCCCACCCCCTCCCCACCCCTTCTTGCCAGTCTCAATGACAACCTGTCTGAAGCAACACCATCCTGTGAAAAAAATAGCCTACCCTGCCACAGCCTATACCCAAATGAAAAATCAAAGACAGAAATAGTCTTAGGGGTTGAAGAATATTAGTTGTTCACTGATTCTCACGGAATTCTCACGGCAAAAACCGAGAATCCGAAACTACAAGACCAACTCGCTTTCATGGAATCAAACCAAAATGGAATATTGGAACATTGAATGTTATATTTAAAGATGGGATGAGGGCTTCTCGGGAACGTATGGTACTGAACGTTGGAAGCTGGTCAAGTAAGACTTGGACAGACTTGGGCTGAGTAGGAAAGGGGGGGGGGGGATCAGGATAAAGACTCCGGAGAGAACTTGTTTGTGGCAGTATTAGGCTTTATTAGGAGCGGTGAGAGCTGGTGATAATGAGCTGTATTGGTAATGTCAATAAAGAGTTGGGTTATCAACCTCTCTAGTTTAACTGAAAACTGCTTCGGGATAATTGGAAAGCGGAGAACAGGCAGAGAGTGTAATATTCCCTTCGACTCGAAAAATATTTGGCCCCGGCTTTGGTACCGTCAAACCTCGCCTTTCGGTGTCTTTTTCAAGTTGGCAAGTTAATACAAGCAAAAGAGTATGTGTGGTTAACCCTGCTATAAGTCTGTAAATGCTGAACAATTAACAAAGATGATAAAAATAGAATAGAAGCAACAGAAATTATGATTTTTAGGAGACCTTTCAAAAGTTCATGGAAGGATAGAAGTCTAATTAGAAAGTACTGGATGAAGCTCACGTGGGCCGCTCTCTAACAAGAAAAATAAAAAAAGAAGCGACGAAATGCCGTTTCAGGGTTATTTGACTCGAATCAAAGCTTTGAGTATCTTGCACTCACTGGAATAAATAGAAAGCCAACTAGTCAACAGTAGACCTATAGAAATATATTACATGAAAAACCATGAGCTGGTAACACAAGATATATAACATTAATATATGGGTTTTTTTTATAGCGTCTGGGAGGAGATATGAAGGGGGAACTATGATCGCCGATATCTGTTCCAGATCAAACACTTTATAATGATGAAGTTCATGGGTTTCTGCAGACGCTGACTTTCTGCAATGTTTCACAAAACACACGATTAAAAAAAAACCGCCGTTAAAGTTGGTTGTACTCTTGTTCTGCAATATCACAGGCTAGCGTGAAGTATATCATTCAATTTCATCTTTATTTTTAAAAACCCACACAACCTCGTAGATTAACATGTCCTGCTTTTGCATTCCCAAGTATTGTTTACTCTTCATCCAAACGCCTGAGATACTTGCAGCCTCGCTGTCCTCTCTAGTCCGCTTCAAGACACCACATGCCCAGTCTGCGAAATGTGTGAATCCTTATTTGACAGTCATAGAGGCAGACCTTTCAAAACCTTAGTGTAGATGTGTGAAAGTCTGTTGCGAGCTATGGGACGGCTTCTCCCTAAAGTTTCAGCTAACGTAGGGGACCCGCCACTTTTAAACTGGGGCAGGTTTTTAAATGAGTAATATTCAAAACTGTGCACTTTAACGTGATTCTAGTTAACCCTTGAGGACGGAATTTGACTCTATTTGGAACCAAATGAAGAACAACAAAGACAGAAAGATTGCGCGCGCACTCGACGACACCAAGAAGTGTTTTGACCTTTCATTTGCGTACTCTTGGAAGGATAAATGCGGTTATGATTTTCGGTTGGACATACATGTAATTGTTTCAGTTAATTTGATTCTAATTTTTAAATAAAGATAACGTCATAAAAGGTGTTTCCTTTAAAAAAAAAGATATGTATGAATAATGAAGTAATGCTTCTTTTTTTAAGATGTCAAAAATAACAACAAATAAACAAACAAACAAATTTTTTTTTGTTAATTGACCAGAAAAATAGGTCCTCGGTGAGTTGATCCTATGATTGTATTGTCCAGCGGAACGTTCACGACAGATCCCGAGCAAATTTCTTTTCCTTTTCACCCATTTGTTGGATCTGTCTTACTTTTCCTTCCCCTCAATTCACACCAACTTACCGATAAGCGTCTCATTTAGGTCAAGCTGAAACACAAGCATGTTAGGTTTTTTAAAAGTGAAATAACCCACTGAATAAACTGGAGGGACAGCTTTAATGAGTCGTGTCAATGCAGCACAGAGGAAAACTCAGCATGTTGGCGGGGAATCGTTTTTGGGACTCTCCTCAAGTAAAGTAGAATCCGTTTGGTTTTTGATAGAGGAGACAAATAGAGGAGACTGGTAATCCAAACTGCCTTCTTGGCAGCTCGTTGATGAACTGAAAGTGGAATGAAACGAAAAGTTTAAGACATAAAAAATTGAAATTTGTCAATGAAAGTGTGTCAGCTAACTTTTAAAGTGCGAGTTGAAGTATGAAGAATGACAAGGGTGTGATGAGCAAGCGGGTATTTTTCTGGATTCATTTTGAGGTTTTGTTTGCCTGTATCTTCAACCTGGATCACCTCTCTTGACACCGCCGTGTCCCTCTCGTTCCGAGACGTCTTCGGGTGCTTGTCACAGGGTATAACTTACAAATTGCTCGGCTTAACCTCTTACAGTTAATTGAAAGACAGAACGAAGAATGTTTTTGTGCAACAGCTTTGAAGAAAACTGAAATATAAAGAAAGGTGTCGCTCACTCGTTCCTACTCTTAAAAGTGCAACTTTTAAAGGTGACCTCTTAAAGAATCAATTAATGCTAGGCCCGGTTTAATCAAGAAATGAAGGAAGTATAAAAAAGAGCATCTGAAGTTTATCGTCCCGTATAAAATACTCTCAGCTCTGATTATGCATACACAAGTGTTTTACTTGCACGTCGCTTTCTTAGGTTCAATTACAACTTTGTCGATTTTGACAAGATAGGCTATACTTTTGTTTTAAAACTTTTTTTGAATTCTTGTAATAAACCGTTTTACATGTAACATGGGTACATTTCGAAACTGAATTTTAAAGAATCATTATGATACTTCATTTACTTCGCTAGCACGAACAATCGATATATTTTTACTTTGACAATAACGAATGTTCCACCAATATAATAATACAATAATAACCATACTGAGGGCGCATTACCTTACATTATCCAGAACTTGTAATATACCCCCCTGAGATACTCCGTTGAATGGTCTCTTCACTTATAGTCTAATCTAAAAACGAACAAGTCATAATCCTGTGTGGTTTTACGTTATTGTTGGGAATACATAGGACATGGAGAGACCTGAAACACCTGGAGGTGTCATTCCTGAAACTGAGGTTGACGTTTAAATATCCCTCCCATCCGTCACTGTCGCGAGCTGCCGTTGTACATTCTGCTATACCCAGACCGGTCCATGTTTTTATGTTGTCAATCCGTGTTACTCATTAGCCTGCTCTGGCTCTCCTACTCCACATCCTTCCTTCAAGCTCCTCTTTAACAATGGTATGGTGTCCTTTTAAGTTAGCAAATAAAGTATTTCCCCCTTTTTTTTCCTTCAGCAGGGTTTGTCTTGTGTGGAGGATGAAGAAACATGAGCTTCAATTTTCAATGCCGTACCCCACGAAAAGAACTGTGAATGTTAAAACACACCTCACCTCTCTTTTAACAAGTTTAAGTAAGAGTTTTACGGGACTTGCAACATAATTAGCTTATATAAGTGCTGTTATCTCTCTTCTTGACTTGCAGCCACGCCCTGTATGAGCGACTACTTGATAAACAAGATCCCCGAAAACCGTTCGGTGTGGTCCGGGGAGATACAGATGGTCATGGAATGTTCCCGTGGCTACGACCTGCCGCTCAACGCTCCGCCAGAGGGCGTCTTCCGCTGTAGCCCAGATCGGTTGCCATGGAAACCGAGCTTCATCCCAGACTGTAACAGTTGAGAAGATGATTTAATATAGTTTTAATATGACGTCATCCTAACCGTTTTTCAATTAATTAATTAATCTATTAATTAATAATAATAATAATAATAATAATAATATATAACATTTATAGAGCGCATTTCCAAAAAAAGTAGCTCAATGCGCTTTACATTGGAATACCCATTTTTCAAAAACCTTTCTTACTACTTCCTTTCTTCTCACGCAATATACATTAATGCACACACACACACACACATACACACACACACACACACACACACACACACACACACACACACACACACACACACACACACAGAGACTATTTTCATCCAGACATAGGAAAAGAACAAATATAATGAAAGCTAACGTTAAAAGCTTATGAAGGATAGGCCTGTAGGAACAGAAAATGTTTAAGATGTCTTTTGAAGCTATCAAGTGTTCTTATTTGTCTTAGTTTCATGGGTAATCTGTTCCACATAAATGGACCAAGATATGAGAAAGATCTCTCTCCATATGATTTGTATGATTTTACAGGTGTCACAAGTAGGGTGTTATCGTTCGATGATCTTAGGTTTCTCCCTGGTTTATATATACTGATAAGTTCTTGCAGATAAAAAGGAGCAGTTTTATTTACACATTTGAAACACATGACGCAGATTTTAAATATTATTCGTTCTTTTACAGGGAGCCAATGCAGTTCTTTTAATAATTAATTATTTAAACCTTGTTTTCTGTTGGGTTGTTGTTGGTTTTTCTTTGGGGGGTGCCAGGAAGTTTTCCCCTAGAATCTACTTAATTAGAGACTCAGTCATACGCCATTTTGAAAAGTGACATATGACAATGACAGAGTCTTACACCTAGCAGTCGAATCTTGTACTTTCATTGTTCCTCAGATTCCGATACCATACCACACTCATCCCACTCCTCCCCCCCCCCCTTGTTATCAAGTTTTATATATATATATATATATATATATATATATATATATATATATATATATATATATATATATATATCTCCCTCTGTCTGTCTGTCTGTCTGTCTGTCTGTCTGTCTGTCTGTCTGTCTGTCTGCTTGTCTGTCTATATCTATCTATCTCTCTATCTCTCTATTTCTCTATCTCTCTATCTCTCTATCTCTCTATCTTTCTATCTTTCTATCTATCTATCTATCTATCTGTCTATCTATCTATCTATCTATCTATCTATCTATCTATCTATCTATCTATCTATCTGTCTAGCTGAACGTCTATTTATTATGCCTATGCACACACACATGCACACACAAAAAACACATTCACATACATCCACATGTACTAGTTCTAACTCACTTATATGCTCATACAAAGACATTTTCTTTTTTATGTGTACCAAATGGCTATCACTATAAAACAAAGCTTATGAAAATCAAGAAAAGCCAGGGGGGGGGGGGTGTCTCCCGGCCTAGAGGTTAAGGTGTTCGCCTTTCTTTCAAAGGTCCCGGATTCAAATCCGGGTAGCGACGGAACAATTTTCTTCTCTAAAAATTGTCTCCTTTAACCTCCTTTCCTGCTCTCTTACAATGTTCATTCGTCTGCTTTCGTCTCCACTTTCTGCCCCACAATCAACCCCCTCCTCCAGAAAATAAAAATTAAAGAACCCCAAACTAACAAACAAAAAACACCAAAAAACAACAACAAGAAACAAACCAACTAAAACAAGAAAAAATAACAACAACAAACAAACCAAAGACACAAAAACCCACGAAGCTTCCCATACGATATTGGGTTATTTTCTTCAATTTCTTATTCTATTTTCCACAGAGGAGCACGTTCCACGTTTTCTTAACCTTGTCCTCGGCCTTCCAATGAGCGTAGATCGGTGTGAGAAGGTGGTGTCAGGGAGGCGCTCCGCTCCGGTCTCCACAAACCTCGGATTCTTGAGCAATGCTGACGACATCAGCAGGTGACTTTATTTATCCATCTTATTGTACCTCTAGGGCGTCGAGGGGAGAAAGAGCTTCCTGTCTCTAGCAAGTTTGATGGCCTGGCAGGGTGGGATATTGAATGCTCTCAGAGTATCCTTCACACCCTGGATCCAGGACTTAACCACCTGATTGTTTGCCTTCGGATATAGTGAAAAACAGGTGTTGTTCCCACCATTTCTCTGATCTTGTTGTTCCTGACCATGTCCTGTCTGGTTTTGTTGACCGCTCTCCTTAGACATCTCATCTCGCAGGTTAACTTACGTTCCAGACTTTTGGTCAGGGTCCATGTCTGGCACTGGTAGGTCAAGATGGGGACGACATCAGCAGGTGAAGCAGGGGCAAAGTGAGACAACTCCGTGTCATTGTTTTTGTAAATGGCTCACGACACGGTGGAATCAAGCGCTCGTCCTTTTTGGGTAAACGTCGGTGGTCTGTCAAGTGGGTTAGACTCTCGGACTCGCAACCGTAAGATCGTGGGTTTGAGCCCCGTCAGGGGCCCTACGTTTTGTCCCTGGGAAAAGCACTTTACCCGAATTTTCCTCACTTCACCCATGTGGAAACGGCCAATTTTGTCAGTTTGTAAGCGTTAGAGCGCTTAATCAGCTGCTTGGACTGTATGCTTCCCAAGAAGCTGAGAATGTTTCTGGGTGTTCTGTGGTCTGCTGGGATAAATATTATTAAGTAAAACGCATAGACCTTGCTGCAAAGCGGGGATCTGCGCTATACAAATGCTATTTATTCTTATTACCTGTATTTATTATTATTATCAAACTTAAAAACAAACCTCAGTCAGACATGAACTCTGGCAAAACTGAAAAACACACACACACGCGCACACACACACACACACACACACACACACACACACACACACACACACACATACATAATCAGCAAGGGGTTGGGGATGATGGGTGGTTTGAGGGTGTTATGGTGTGGTTTGATTCTGAGGTCCTATCAAACACCTAATATCCCTTTATCTCTTCTCCTGAACTTTTTTTTCTTTGTAGTATGTTATTCCTTACTTCCCTCGTTCTTTTTCATCCTCTGTTACTGTTAAGCGACGAGGGTAGGTGCAGTTTTCTATGGTAGGCAAGCTCCGCAGCTGTTTCAATTGGGATATTATACTTTCTAGGGGTTTTCTTGACTCCCTCATTCCATCTTTTTTCGTGGTCACCCTCTTCCTTTATGGCCTGACATTCGAAACAGGTGGCCAAACCATTCTATTCTCTGTCTTTCTAAGAAATGCACACAGCCGCTCTTACTTCTTCATTTCTCTGCCTGTCTGTTCTAGTGATGTTTAGGTTTTTGTGGAGACATTTTCATCTCGCATTCAATGATTTTCTCTTTCACCAACGACATCCTGTCCTCAGCCTATGTGACGACAGTGGCGTCCTCGGGGGTTCCTGCCTAGTGAGGAACGTCACTGGATTCTGCAGCGGTCCCCCCAGACGGGCAAGTCAGGACACGGACTTCTGGGCGCAAGAACTGGGTCTCGGGTCGAGCTTTGTGAGTAATCGGACCTGTTCTAGAGCTGCCACTTGTCCGAGACAATCACCTGTACAAAGGACCAATTCGCACCCCCATTCCTTGCCTTTAAAAAATTAACACTGTCCAAAGTGTCCACCTGTCTAAGACATTCATTTTCCTCCTCGGTAGCGGGTGGCTATCTTGGATAGTTTTTATTGAAAGTGCTTATGTAGCTTGTACTTTGCCTTCAGTCGTGCAGAATGAGCATAGTGGTAAAAGCAACAGTGTTGTCGTTGTATGAACTCATGCAACCGTAACGGGATCGGATCTGGTTTTCAGAAAAAAGAAAGAAAATTTTCATCGTCGTCCCCACCCACAGCTGGGTAAGTGTTGCTTACGAGTAATAAACTCAGAAGAGAGAAAAATTGTTGCTAGAACAATCATTCCACTTAAATCCCAATTGTGAGAATTTTCGATGTTTACACCTTCCCAAAGCTCTATCAAATATGTGCCTTTCAACATCACTGTAATGCAGTTTAATGTTACGGTCAATCTGACAATCTTCTTGCTTTTCCTGATTCCTGATAGGAACTACACAACAATATCTAGTTTTCTTTGTCTTTGGGGAAAAGAGTACAAATGTGGACTTACGTGGATTACTAACGGCACCGACGATATAATATCGCTCTGGGGAAACTTTGAGGAGGTTCATAACTTTTCTTAATATAGTGATATCTAAACATACAGTCTTTGAACATTTCACTGGAAGCATTGAAGGTGAAAGAGGCAGGGGAAGACAAAGAACAACTTACAATATAAAAAAATATAACAGTTAGATGGTGGAGGAAGACCAGGATAACATACGATTTTTGGAGCTTCTGAGCAGACAAATGAGTTGCAAACTATTATAGTCAACGATGGTTGGTTCAGATCTGGCCCTTGATGATGATTATGACGATGATATCAATATTATTTTTAGTGTTTTTCACGTCAAGAATGATTTGCTTTATAGAAAAAATTTGCGTCTTTAAACACCTATTGGTGCCATTTGGCAAAGTAGATTCCCTTTTTTACTGGTCTAACGATCATTGAAGTGTCTAAGGAGTGTGTGAGGTTAGTCCTACTCTTTCAGCGTTTGGTGTTTGAGTCTTATCAATAAACATAACCGTCTGCCAAATTAAAAGAGCAATGAACAGGAATGTTCCAAAAATAGCTGACTGTAGCTAAGTATAGTATATAGCTAACAATGTTGTAATCTAAAAGTGGCACTCATGTGGTATTGTGGTATACTTCTGCTAATTGTTTTGGTCATCATCTTTTTTTTTTATCGTGATCAACAATGACACCAAAAATGACAAGAATAACAACAACAAACTAACAACAACATAACAACAACAACAACAACAGCAACAACGACAACGACAACAACAACAACGACAACGACAAAAACAACGACGACGCCCAAAACAACAACAACGACGTTGATGACAACCACAACAACAACGACAACAACAACAACAACAACAACAACAACAACAACAACAACAACAACTACAACAAGAGTGTTTCCCGTCTTTCTTCAGTTACTGATAGTTCTCCGGACAGCCTACAACACGAGAGTATCCCTCCACAAGTACATGACAGCCAAAGACAAAGTTGCGAAAGCCCTTCGCGCCAAAGTGGGCCAACAAGGTGGACAGACATCAGACAATATCGAGTCCCTGCTCAAAGCTGAATGCCCGAAGGGGTCCCTGGGTGTAGAGAGAACCGAATCCGACAAAAAGATTGTCTGTCGTGAGTTCAGTGTTGACGTCTATTTCTTCATTCCTTCGATGTCCTCAGGGTCGGTTGTCTGGTGGTTAGGCTACCGCACTCGCGATCGTAAGGTTACGAGTTCGGGGTTCGAGCTGCAGGCTCAACGTTGTGTCCTTGCGAAAGGCACTTTACACGAATTTTCTCACTTCAGTTAGGTGGGAATGGATACCTGGCTATAGACAGCAAAGAGATCTTGTCAGTACGGAATATTAGTGTTTTATCGCCCATGAAATGGCAGCTTGCACTGTATGCCTCCCAGGAAGTTGGGATTGTTTCAGAATGCTATCAAGTCTGCTGAGGTAAAATGTAGACTGTAAAGCGCACAGAGCTTGTTGTTGCACGGGAATTTGCGCTATATAATTTCTAACTAATATAATATGCTCCCTTTAACTTACCTGCCTGAAAATACTGGGAGACGTCATCTCTTTCTCATAGGTTAGATAGATAAAAGATAGCATTTGTATAGCACAAATACCGGCTCAACTGCAAGCTCTATGCGCTTCACAATCTATACTATTACCCCAGCAGACCTGAGAGCATTCTGAAACAAACTCAACTTCCTGGGAAGCACACAGCGCAAGCAGCCATTTATAGGCGCTAAAACACTAACATACTGACAAGATCTTTCGCTGTCTATGGCCGGATACCCATTTCCACCTGGGTGAAGTGAGGAAAACTAGTGTAAAGTGCCTTTCCCAAGGACACAACGTCGGACCCGCAGCTCGAACCCCCGAACCCGAAACCTAACTAGGCCACCGACGCCACATTGGTTGACACGTAATGACCCGTCATTTTTTGCTATCGCTAACTTCTCTCGTGCATTTTGTCATATAACCTAACAGGCTACGAAGACACAGACGGAACTGGTAGATTCACACAACATTCCATAATGTAATCTACATCGGCTGCAGGCTGTTCGGGACGAAGAAATCGTGTCTGTCTCACTGACGATGAAACCTAAGGGCCCATGGAGGTCTCCGATTGCGAGAAAGCTAACTCTTCATGACACGGCATAAGTCTAACACCCTTTTCAAACCTGTATGGTAATTTTAGAGGACAATCCTCAAAATCTAACTTCCTTCTCCAATGTGACGAAGCATAGTAGGGGGGGGGGGGGGGGGGGAAGGAACCTTGAAAACTCTCGAAAACCGTCGAAGTTCAAAAACTGCTTAAGGGGACCTATAAGGGCCGTCCACCCAATAGTACAGCATGGTGATACCAAAGTTGGCCTAACTGACCTAACCGACCTGATTAATCTAGCAGCTCATACACTTGTTCTGCATCTTAGTAATAAAAGAAAAAGGGCACAACTGTCAATGTGGGGGGGGGGGGGGTGGAGAGGAACAAAGAAAAATATTGATGGAGGGATGGATGGCGTTGGGACTACGGTTGGTTGGGGGTGGGTAGGTAGGTAGGATTCATTGTGTGTGACCATGGCTAAGAAATTATTTCGATTTGTACTTGACCCACGTTAAAAGTTGTAAAACGCATAGTGCATGTTCTAGAGCGTTCGTATGCGTTGTATAAATGCACTTTAACATTCTCTAGAGCGTTGGTACGCGCGGTGTACATGCATTTTAAAAATTGCTCATAATTATTCTTTCTCGTCCTGCTCCCATCACCAGGTGGCTGCTCCCTAGGCCACCGACTAGACCCCAGACTCAAGCAGTGCGTGCCGTGTCCGGGCGGTCTCTACCAGGACGAGCCGCTGAGTGAGAACTGCAAAGTCTGCCCCGCCCTCTTTGGCATGCTGAACGAGACACTGTGGGCGGAGATCAAGATCAAGGTGCTTAATAATGATGCAGTGGTGTCCTCTTAAACCGAACAATGTTTGTCCGAAAACAAAGGCAAACCGAAAGAAAATAGAATGCCCGAAGCTTTTTTTTTCCACCGTTTGAGAATTCTCTGGCGAAACCGAAGAAAATCCGGCAGATTTCGGTTTAGACGTACTCCACTGTATGGCAAAAGTGGGAAGACATGGAACAACATCAAAAGGCTAGCCCAGGATAGGGAAAGGTGGAAAGTGTTTGTTCGTGGACTATACCTGACCCACGGTTAGAAAAGCAATGACAATGATAATGGTGGCTGTATACGACGCTTATTTACCCCTCTACCCCGATTAAAGAACACAGGCGCTGTGCCCGTTTATAAATGCAGATAGCAACACGTACATAGATCAAAGACAATGCTTTGTGTTCTGACTAAAAAGCCAACGTATCATTATCGTCGGGCAAGCTGCTCACATGTACTATGTCCAAAATTGTGATTTAAAAAAACATGCAGTTTCTTAACCCGTAGTATCAGTAGAATGTGCTCAATAAATGTATTGCCAAAATTCTAATTATGTTGAAATCAGCAAGAAAAGATAATGTTATTATAGATATATCATTAAGGAA